AAGGAATAGAAACGTTATAATATGATTTAAGTCGCAGGTTTTGAGTTTAACATTCACTAAGCTAATTGGAGGATCATACAACTTACATCAGAATTGGTTGGTAATTGGTAACAAAGGCTATTGAGTCCCCCAAGTGAGGGGGTTCTCCAATACAGACATGGGTTGTAACGTAAAACCCCAGTTACCAACCAGTTACAATCCGTGGGAGCCCTGGCTATTCCAATGATAGGTTTGACCAACTATAACTGGTCAACTGTAGATTCAAAATCAGCAATAGCTAAGATTGGGGATTGTGTCCACACCTTTTTTTTGTGTTTGATATCTCTAGGTCAATCTTAGATGGGTAGAAAGCAATCCTTTAGTCTTTTGGTAATGGGATTATCTACTTACTCACCAGCTAAGAATTTGTCATTTTTGCAGAGTATCTGGCTGATTGGCACTGTTCCCACATAGTCGATTTCAACAATGGTCAAGACTTCTGGTTTCTGGCTCACCTGTTTTAGCCAATCCCCTTTTTCTAGCTGTTCATTTTCATCTGGTTGGTGGTTTGGAACATGAATTTTATGACTTTCCATTCAGTTGGGAATAATCATCCCAATTGACTTTCATATTTTTCAGAGGGTTTGAAACCACCATCCCATTTCTTGTTGACTTCTTCGCCGGTCTTGATTTCCGGGAAACTCTTAGACATGCGCAGAAATTTGGGAGGGTTATAACCTGTGGTAGCCCCGCTGGAAGTGGGTTACCCTCTGGTAAACTAACATAACTATAGAAAATCACCATTTTGAATAGGTAAAGATCAGCTTTTTTATGGGGTATATGTTCAATAACTATGTAACAGTCATTACCAGGCCGGGTACATCCCATTAAAATCACCGATGTTTGTTGGTTAAACCCCATTAAACCACCGTTTTTGACCACCATTTTCCTATGGTAAAACCACCACCATGCGAAACATGGCATCTTTCGAGGGGATTTCCCAGCCCACCATCGAAGCGATATCTGGAGGGTTTACTCGTTTGCACCAGAGTTACCAAAGCGATCTAAGAATGGCAACCCAATGGCCCCAACAGATGGCTTTTTGAAGCCGGCACTTTTGGAAAACAAACCTCCGTTTTTTCACTTTTTCTCGTGGTTTTTCTGGTGCTTTTTTTGTGCTCACTGTTACAGGAACTAGGCTTCCCACAATATATATATATAGTTCTGATTTGTTTATATATAGTTCTGGACTGTGGACTATTTTATATATAGTTCTAAGAAATATATATATATAGTTCTGGACCAGTGTTGGCAGCCCACAGACAAAGAGGCCCACGCACCCATCTATATATATATATATGTACATACATATAGTCTTAGTTAGTAGATATCAAAAATAGTAGAATAAAAATAAAAGAACTTATAAACCAACCAACATAGATATTATGGTATATAGTAGATATAACGAACTAGTATTCATGGGGGTTACAAACCAACAAACATCCCATAGATATAACTATAGATTTTCAAATAGATATATTTTCATAATTAGTAGATCTTAAAAAATACTAGAACTAACAATTATCTGGTTGGTGGTTTGGAACATGGCTTTTATTTTTCCGTTCAGTTGGGAATGTCATCATCCCAACTGACGAAATCCATCATTTTTCAGAGGGGTAGGGCTCGACCACCAAGCAGATATAATCTTCATTATAATCTCCATTACAATCCCCATGAAATTCCCATAAAACAACCACCGGGAATAGAAATCCCCCACTGAATCCAGGAAAAATTCATTTTTCCCAGAAAAATCCACCCTTTCCCAAGATTTCACCAAGATAAACCAACAAAGATTTCACCGGGGCCCAGCTGGAAACGACCGCGACCTCAACGACGCAGGTCACCAGCCGTGGCTACGGCATCTCAGAACGTGCCACCTATCTCGACACGCCACTTGGTTTTCTCAGCGGAAATGGGTCAACTTAAAAAACCTAGATATGTATGGGATTATATGGGATTATATCAATGGCCATTTGAGGAACCGATTGATTGGAGGTACCTACCTAAGGCCTATGTTTACGGCCTATGTTTCCGGGAATATCCCCACAAAATATGGCCTGAAATATGGTACTAATGTACCTCCATCTGTTGGATCCTGAAATTCCCATTGATTATATGAGATTATATGGGTGTATATGGATATTCTATGGAATTATATTAGATATTTTATGCATATTATATGGATATTGTATGGGATTACCATGAATTATATGTGTTTATATGGGGAAAAAAATTGGATTGATGGAATATCCCCACTTATGGGATGAAATATGGCTTATCTATGGATTATAAACCACGGATCCTAAGTGGGATGCACATCTGGTCTACCTTTGGTAATATAAAGGAATATACTGGAATATATGGGATTTATATAATTGGATTTGATGGTATCTAATGGGGATATAGTGGGATCCCCTGTGTATTAACTGGCAAAAATTTTGCCGTTTTGTCCAGAAATTTGTGCTGGTTAAACGAAGAAAACACGTTGATGTAATGGGAATTGGCTTACAAAATGAGGAGTTCACTGGGGATATAACTGGGATACAATGGGATTATACATGGGATATCATGGGATATGAATGGAACATAGGATATCATGGGATATAGTGGACCGTCCTTAAATATGACGCCTCTGATGCTCTGGGATTTCACCTTTTGATCAATTCTGGCAATGGGAAATAGCCTGTAAATGTACATGGAGGCTTTACCCTCTGGTAATTTAGCTATTGAACATGGCCATTTATAGTGTTTTTTTCCATTAAAAATGGCGATTTTCCATAGTTATGTTAGTTTACCAAAGGGTAATATGGGTAACCGGGTAAAACCGTGTCATAAACCATCCCCCAGTCATCACCAATAAACCATTCTCAGTCATGGGTGGTAAACATTGTCCATTGTTTTACCCACATTAATCCGAAAATCATCCACCTAAATTAGGGATTTTCCGTTACTATGTGTGATTTCCGGAGGGTTCAAAATCCCCATTTCTGTCGGTGTTGCCCTCTTCCGGAGATGTGCAGGGAATTCAACAAGCTCCAAACTCCAAACCCATCCTTTTACTGCAGGGTCTCAGTGAATGGAATGACGGCTGAAACGTGGAGGGAACTGTGCATGGATACGTGCCATCTTCAAAACCTCCATTGCCCTCTGGTAAACTAACATAGCTATTGAAAATCACCATGCTATCAATAGATAAATCATCTATAAATGGGCCATTTTCACTAGCTATTTTGACATAACCAGAGGGTAGATGCCCGTGTTGGGGGATGGTCATCAATCCACTAACAGGGATATACCGATATACCCTTCTTGAGCTCAAGAATCGTACAGGTTTAAGACAGATAAAAAACAGTACATGAAAACAATGTCCACATATCTGGACAGGTTTATCTGTGTGCCGTGGTGATTGGCTAGATTGGCTATGGCACAAGTTCTTTAGGTTGTGGGGTAAGCTGTGTGCCATGCGGTGGGGTAAGATTATAGGTTGTGGCGTAAGCTACCACCCGTACTCGTACTGTGGATGGTTAAGAAATCCTGCACCAGTTGATAGATGGTAAACATCCAATTATTTATAGGGTTTCAACCATCCTTTTGGTGGTGCAGGATTTCGCAACCATCCACAGTATGTCATTGGCATCTTTGGACTACGCCAGAAGAAGTGGCAGCATCCATGTCTTCTGCTGCCTCGCACCATTGGGATGCTGTACATGATGTTCGTGAAAAACTCTGGGCTGTGAGAAGCAAGAAGGCACTGCCTCTAGCCAGTGCCTCAACATGGCAACGTCATAGTTCAACATGCTTCAACTCTCATCTCACTGTTGCTTGAGATTCTTGAAACCCCAGTTTCTTGATTAAAATATATAAAACCATATAAAACCATATAAAACCATATAAAACCATATAAAACCTATATAAAACCTATATATCAATGCCCCAGAACTTCCTTCGTGGTAGATGCTGCACTCCACAATCTCTGGACGGCATGGGTACCGCACAGCGTTGGCACTTTGAACTCTGCTTGAATTCTTGACCTATATCTCTGGGCATGGGTTGGTGGTGATCTACATCATTTTCATTGCCTTTGGTTAGCACATATTCCAATTCGGAACAGCTGCAAATCCCATTTCTGTGGGCGAAATTTCAATCCGTTTGATGAACCTTTCTTGAAATCCCCTTCCACTGTCACTAAGCTGGAAAAAAGAACATTTGGAGACTTCCACGCGAAAAAAAGGGACAGACAAACGTGCAACATCAACAACCATCAGTAATATCCACATGGAGGTTTCCTGAAATGGAGGTACCCTAACAACTGGATGGTTTACAGTTTACAAATGGAAAATCCCAGACAAAACATAGATGATTTGGAGGTACCCCTATTTCAGGAAACCTCCATATGCTTAAGAAACACATTCAACCAAGGACAATTTCCCATTTCTAGATGATTTCCCCGGAGTATTTCGGAGTGCAGGGACATCGTCATAGGGCTTATATCCCAACTCCTGGGGTTGTTTCATCATGCTTATATCATGTTATATCAGATAAAAAGTAACCTATTAAGTATGATGATTATATAATATAATATAATATAATATAATATATATATATATACCCTATGACTCTATATCAGATCCTGCCAAGTCGATTCTATTGGATTCTCCAGAAAATTCCTGTCCAAAAATCGTCCTCAGATCCATGGAAAAATTCATGAAATTCACCATGAAACTGCACCTCCAAGTGGTCCATCCACTTGGCAGCCTTGGGTCCTGGTCACCGGGATGCATATCCGAGGTGAGACCCATGATTTTCCCATTGTTTGTAAGGGATTTCCAAGTAGAAACCTTGATTTTTTGGCTTGCAAATGTCCCATCTTCATGATTTTCCTACTTCCTATGGTTTTTCCCATCTTTTCCCATGATCTGCGGGAACAAATTCGCCACGTCCCATGGATCCCCTGCGCCCAGGCGCTTCGAAATCCACAGCGTGGAGCCTCCGGTGGGCTCCGAGGAGGGCGGCGCGCGGGTCACGGTGCGAGGCATCGGCTTTGGAGACGCCACGGTGACCAACCAGGTGGGTCCCCTGGGGTCCCCTGGGTCCGTGGCCTGGGAACCCTGGGGACTTAGACCTGAATAGTGCTGAAGAAAAAAACAGTGTCAATCTTAGGATGATTAGGATTAGTATGTTTTTTTTTGATTTCGATTCATCTTGGAGGATCATCTTCCGGAAAAGATGGTGATTTGAGTTTCCGAATGGGGTTTCTTAGGTTTCAAACAGCCATCAATAGGGGACTTAAGATGACTTGATCATCATCATTTTAGTAGATCTATGGGTTATTATGGATTAGTATGGACAATTAGGGATTTAACATGATTTAACCATAAACAATAGAAGGACTTGATCATCAACAATAGGGGGACTTAACTATCAATTATGGGATTTTTATTGGATTTCCATAGGGTTTCCATAGGGTTTTGGGGTTTCTTTGGTTTCAAACAACCATCAATAGGGGGACTTAAGCATCCACACTGGGAGGACTTAACCATCAACAATAGGGATGACTGGGATTTATCTTCAGAAAAGATGGTGATGACTGGGTTTCCGGATGTGGTTTCTAACCATCAACAAGAGGGGACTAAAAAATGACTTAACCATCAACAATGGGGATTTTTAAAGGATTTATCATGGGCAAACCAGGGATTTTGAGGTCAATATTAGATGGGTAGAAACCAATCCATGCTGGCTCAAAGTCAAGTTTTGCTCTGAAATTCTCACCTGATTGGTGGTTTGTAACATTTTTTTCCATTCAGTTGGGAATGTCATCATCCCAACTGACGAAATCCATGATTTTTCAGAGGGATAGGGGAGCAGCATGGTGGAATGAGACCTTTAGGGTAACACTTGGGGACACGGGGCTGGGACATGGGGTGGGCTTAGGGGACAAGTGGGAACATGGGGCTGGGACCTGGGGTGAGTTTAGGGGACAGGATGATGATGATGATGATGATGATGGTGGTGATGATGATGATGCTGATGATGATGATGATGATGATGCTGATGATGATGATGATGATGATGATTCCAGGATGGTTCTAAGCGATCCAAATTGCGCGGTTCTAAGCGATCCCAATCCCGTGGTTCCAAGTGACCCCGCGACCATGTCAAACCACCAAGAAAAGCAACTTAGATGGGTAATGGCTCAAAATTCCTGGAATGAATACAGAAATGTCATAGATCAATGTCAATTAAATTAATATAATAGCCTATTCAGAATTTTGAGCCATTCGAGATATCGAGCGATCGAATGTGTGGGCATAATAATCCATGCATGTAGTTGTAATATATAAATCAATCAATCAATCAAACAATAAATAAATAAAAATAAATAAATAAAAAAACACAATAAATAAATAAATAAGAAAATAAATAAACAAGTAAATAAATAAATAAAGATATATATATATATATATTATATATTCAAGATACGTGACAATGTGGCACGCAAGCCAGCAGACGGTTGTCCTCGGCTCACCTTCTCGTCAGCTCTTCCTCGAAGATGGCGGTCTCGCTAGGCCCTGATGATGGCTGATACTGGAATCTTCAAAGACTCTGAGACGCACTCTGGACTAGCAAAGGCCAGATCTGGTTGGAAACGTTCAGTGCGCTGCCATGGAAATTCCTCTTGTCGCGGGGCAACACGGCGCCAGCCGGCACGGTGAAGAGGCTAGATGGGGTAGAAACTAATCCAAAATAGGCTTTTGGTATGGGATTATCTACGTTTCACCAGCGAAGTTTTTTTTGCAGGGTATCTAAGATTGGCACTGAAAGTAAGAACATCTGGATGTGTTTTTGATTTTGACTGATTTGTGGGTTGCCAGACGCAATGTGCGTGGTGTCTGAAGGGGTCTGGGTCGTTGTTGTAAAACCTTGGCGATCTTTCTGCAGATGGACAAGCGCTGGAAGAGATTGCGGATGCTTCGCAGCTGAGGGAGCACAACATGTTACCGTAGAGAGGGCATCAGCGACCTTTAGAGTTTACCTTTAGACGTTTAGCTAGGACAAGCTATCAGCCACCAAATTGCTCCTCCAAGCATGGTGAAGAAAAGAATGGAAAGAGTTCTTCTAACTTGCAATGGCAAAGTGGGTTTTCAGTGCTGTTCAAAACCATGAGACATGCCACAAGGAGTCAACTCCAACAAGCTAGCTGTCCTAAAATACATATCACTGTCACAGTAGCGGCGGCCTCCATTGCGTACCATTAAGGCAACACTATATCCCACCAAGTTTTTTCAATTGCTGATTGTTCAGTCACCATTTTGATGGTACCCCACTAATTAAGTCTCAGATTGTTGGTAATATTCCATTATCTTCCATCACATTCCATTATACATGTATATAAATACATACGTAAATTCCCATTAATTCACGACTTGTTGGTTAAATCCACGTTATACTCCCATGATATCCTACAAATGGTCCCTTAGTTGGTGAAATTGTGTTTTTTTCTTCCAGTTTTTGATTGTCAAATCCCAATTTTCTAAATATGTTTGACGGTGATCCAGCCATCCAATAAATGATTCTACACATTGAGTTGCGGATTATCATGGTCATATATACATCAACTAATAAGCCCCTATAAATCCATATGAAAATCCGTAGAAAAAACCATCAAAAATCCATATAAACCGAGATAAAACCATGAAACAATCAACCATATCAATCATATAAGCTCATATAAATCCATTCCCAAAAAAAAACACCACATAAAAAACCCATAGAAATCCATATTAAAATCCATGAAAAAACATGAATAAACTCATAGAAATCCATAGAATCAATGGATTGGTTTAAGGGAAATTTTACAGGAAACCCCCATATTTAATGGGAAAATCTATGGTTTCCTGTAGATCGTCATTTTTGGGTGAAATCCCTTGGATCTCCCACCTCCATCGCCGCCAAAACGCTGCGCGCAGCTGACGGCTGCGGCGCTGGGAACATTGGCGGATGTGGAGTCCTGGAGCGCCACGGAGGCGAAAAGTTGGGAAAAGATGCGGGTGAAAACAAACTTAGAGATTGGATATAATGAGATATCAATGGCATATGATTTTTTTTTTATTCAGGAGAAACATATATATATATCTGGTTGGTGGTTTGGAACATGGCTTTTATTTTCCCCAATAGTTGGGATGATGATCCAATCTGACGAACTCATATTTTTCAGAGGGGTAGGTATACCACCAACCAGACTTAGAGATTGGGGAACAAGTTGGGAAACATGGAGATGAAGTTACAATGAAGTTGGGAAAAATGCGAAATTTTAGCAACTTAAACACTTTTGGAAATGCCAACAGGAAAATTGTGAGATGAAATGAGATAAATGACTCCAAATAAGAATTGGGAGATGAAAACAGGGTACCTCTAATTCATTGGTTAATCGAAAAATGATCCAGAAAATAGATGGCTACAATTGGGGATATACACCGTTTTCAGAAAGACCCATATGCTAGATTCAACAAAGTTAGGTCAATCTTAGACTCTAGATGGGTAGAAACTAATCCAAAATAGTCTTTTGGTATGGGATTATCTACCTTCACCAGCTAAGAATCTTTTTTTTTGCAAGGCATGTAAGATTGGCCATGGTTTATGCAATAAACACTTAGAGATCTTGAGTGGTTCTTGGTTTTTTGTTTTGCGATTTGAATGATGTAATATTTAAGTGATGGATCATTCAATGAATGGAGGGGTTTGATAAAGCGTAATGCGGATAACCGGATAAACCAAGACACGTGTAGTGACCGAACGATTTGACGATGAAAAAATGGGGGGGGCGGTCGGGTGGTGTTGCGGGAATTAAGGGGTTCAAACCAGTAACATTGACATTTTGAGTGATGTAACTGATGTAACGGATTCAACCTGTTTCAGTTGATTTCTGTTTGGTGGTTTGGAACATTTGTTATTTTTCCATATATTGGGAAGAATCATCCCAACTGACGAAATCATATTTTTCAGAGGGGTAGGCATACCACCAACCAGATTTAAATTAACATGTATAAATTTGGTGAATTTTTGAGTGATGTAACATGATGTAACGGATTCAAAGTGTTTCAATTGATTTACCCTCTGGTAAACTAACATAACTATGGAAAATCACCATTTCCAATGGGTGACTCATGGTTTCTATCGCGTGCTTACTTTTTATTTTTGGGGAGGGCTCTTAGGGGACTTTGAAGCAAGGGGATACGACCTAAGACATGGTCTGTGAATATTAATAATCAGCTGATCACAGAAGGTGGTGCCCCTCAAATGCTTCGTTGGCTGGTTATACTATGCTTATAATTCCAATATATTCCAATAGTTTCGGTTTTATAGTAGATATATCTGTAGATATATCCATACTTTATAATAGATACATCTATTTGTGGGTTTATAGTTCACTTGGATTTATAGTAGATATATCTATACTCAATGGGGGGTCGTAACCAACCGTAACATCGAGGGTAACCACCTTGTAGGAAACTACTTGGTGGTTCATCCCACTTAGTACGTAGGTTATAAGTTATAACCTTGGTTATAAATGGGATGTTTGTACGGTTAATCCACTTACAACAGGGGCTACCACTTACTAAGTGGGATGAGCCACCAAGTAGCCAGGTGGTCTTCGTGACTCGCAAACTCACACTGAATGTGGCCAAAGTGGTTCCTTGGGCGATTCGGTGATTGGATCTGAGGATCTGGGGAGCCCTGATCTTTTTTAGATGCTTGGGTTACTTGGGGCTGCAGTTGGCTTATTAATACATATTAATACTTATTAATACATATTAATACATGTTGATACTTATTAATACATATTAATACATATTCATTAATAGGTACAACCATGGTAAAAACCCCTGGGGGTGCAGTTGCGCAATTAATACATTCTAATACTATTCATCAATGGGTACAACCATGGTAATAAGCCCATAACCCAGAAGTTGAAACCTGTTTGGCTACCAATCCATTAGGAACTGCACCCCCAAATAATGTGCTGTATAGTGCTGTTGTAGTCTTTTTAGTCATGGATGGTCACTTTTTTTGGGGGTTGTCCATTTTCATGTCAAGGGTGTCTCACCATTTCTCACCTCAAGCAGAAGCAGAAAGCTGCGGTGAAAATCATCGATGCATTGAGCTTGGATTGAGAAAACCTTGGGAAAACCATGGGAAAATGATTGAACCGCTAGGAGACACATTGGGAAAAGCAACAAGGTTCGGATTGAGAATGATTGAGATACTACTTGTACTGTAAATCCTTTTAAATGCCATCTAAGCTATGGAGAATGTCCTTTTCTAGATGATGGTGCCAAGAACCCCCCGCTGTTGATAGGGAATTTTCCGCAGGCTGCGTCTGATTACGGGTACCCTCCGGCAATCAAACATTGCAATTGAACATCCAAAAAAAAACAATCACGGGAAAATCATCCATGTTTGATTGCCAGATCTAAGCTATAGCCACCTTTCAAAGAATTTCCTTATTTTTCGATGATGTTCTGGTTTAAAAGCCTTGTTTATCTTGTGGCCCTTAACAGTTATAATTTCGATCACACCTCCTGCAATCAAGATGAGACATATCACTTAAAATGGAGATTTCTGAGCCAGTGAAATAACTGTTAAGGTCTATATAAGTCAACCTAGCTATGATAAGTCAGCTACATATAAATCCCCATGGAAATCCCCATCTTTCTGGGTGAAACCAGCATTTTCCTATGGGTTTCCAGCCTCAGTCTGCCTCAGGACCTCATGGTGAACTTGATCAGCGCGGCACAGAAGTGTGGCACTGGGCCTGATCCCAATCCCGCCGCTCGGAGGAAAATACGAAATTTCATCCCAGGAGGTTCAGCTGGTGAAGGGCGAAGTGTGTGATTAATAGTGATTAATAGTGGTTAATAGTGGTTAATAGTGATGATTAGTGATGATTAATAGTGATTGTGAATATTAATAGTGTGATATTAATAGTGATTAACAGTGGTTATCCCCTTAATATCCCACAAAAATATCCCATTAATAGTGATTATTAATATAACCATACATTACTGGTTGGTGGTTTCAAACATGGCTTTTATTTTCCATAACATATGGGATGTCATCCGAAACCCATTGACGAACTCCATCATTTTTCAAGATGGTTAAAACATGTTAAAACCACCAACCAGTTGGTATCTTCATGGTGTTTTTTCCATCAATCTGGGTAAATTTCATCACGACCTCACTGGAATAATGTTTTTTTTTGGAAATCATGAACCATATGAACTATAGGCCCCCAAGATAGCTAAGTTGGTGCCAATATCTCCAATAACTATGGTTTATGGTACTTGTAACGAACTAGTTACTGGGGCTTAGTTATAAACCAACGTTGACATCACGTTTGGGGGCCTCACATTGTATGAACTATAGATACCCTCTGGTAAACTGTTACATAACTATGGAAAATCACCATTTTATAGCGTAAATCCACTATTTTTATAGTCATTGAAATGGATAATCACTATTTTTATGGCCATTTTCAAGTTCGCAAACTGTTAGTCATTACCAGGCCGGGTATATCAACTTCCAGTCCAAGTAGTGCATCCCATCACTTGACCAAAATCGTGGGTTCTTGGGCTCCACGAATCGAAGGTTGGTCGAATTCCAGTTGTAGATATGGGAATTTCTACATAGTCAATATGGTTATTGGTTGGTTATACTGGTTATGGGAATGGTTGGGACCCAATAACTATCTACAACTGGCCAACAACTATCTACAACTGGATAATATGGTTGGTTATTGGTTGTAGATCTCCACGAATTTTCCGGATATGGGGGTTTCCATATAGTCATGGTGGTACCCCAATAACTGGATGGTTTATAGTGGAAAATCCGAAAATAGATGATTTGGGGGTACCCCCATTTCAGGAAACCTCCAAATAATCCTTTCCCCCTAATACTAAACGTCCCCCCCAAATAATAAACACCTCAGGCAGTTTTTATTATTAGGGGTGTATTTATTGTTAGGGAACCCTAATAATATATTAAAACCCTTAATGAAATAACTCTTTGTTTCGATTTCAAAATCAATTAAATTTCCTTATATAACGCACTTGCCAAAAATTGGATTTCGAAGCGGACCCTATTGATAAATTAGAAGCCCTATAAAAAACTAAACATTTTCGGACGGACCCTAATAATAAACACCTCAGGGTTGACTAGTTCTTATTATTAGGGGCGAAACCCACAAATGGTAGCTTTGTTTTTAAATTGTTTTCTAAAGGGGATCAATTAAAAGTCAAAATTGCCAATCTGAAATTTTCCAAAATTGGAGATGGACCCTAGTTCTTATTATTTGGGGGGGTTTAGTAATAAGGGGAAGGGATTATATTAAACTATGCAATGAACTTTATGATCTTTGGCTATTTTCATTCTTTTGATGACATTTTTGTTATATATGATCAATTATCATGATGATTTATTAATAAAGGCAGCATTGTTGCAAGGTATTCAAGATTCGCTTTGGTGGTTGCTATCTCGGGTCTATGGTTGGATGTGTCCATGCACCCCAGGAATCGTCAGTGGCTTATAACAACTCTTATACTTAAGTCATTAGGAAATAAGTGAGTTTATAAACTCCATTGACTAGTTCATTCTATCATGTTCTATCATGTTAGAATCATGTTATATCCACCAATATTCACCAATATTCACCATAAACCCAACAGATTAATTCATTGGACAACAAAAAACGCACCACACCAAGGACATCGCGGATTCCTTGGGATGATGAGCGGCTATCAATAGGGACCTATACCTATAATACCATGGTCAACATTATACCTATATATATTAATATATATATATATAGACCTATGGTATTATAGGTATAATGTAGAAACCATGTTTTTTTTTTGAGAACTATAGGTCATACATATATATATATAGACCTATATATAGACCTATAGTTCATGTTTTTTTTTTTTTCTCCAGAGTTTTGCTGCGCCATGTAGCTCTTGGTGATCCATCTGGATGAATTCGAACAACCTCACGTCGTGGGTGACCGTCACGACGGTGGGAATGATCGTTAGTGACGGTAACCCCATGTGAGGCCTGATTTCAGCGATTTTACCCTTAGTTCATTTATTGTTATTCAGCCATAACCAGTATACCCTCTGGTAAACATACAAAAAATTGTGGAACATCACCATTTTATAGCTGGGTAAATCAACTGTTTCTAGGGCCATGTTCAATAGCTATGTTAAATTACCAGAGGGGGCGGAGCAGCGAGCGAGCGAAGCGAAGCGGAGCGGAGCGGAGCGGAGCCGAGCAGAGAGAAGCGGAGCGAAGCGGAGCGGACCGGAGCGGAACCGGAGCGGAGCGGAGCGGAGCGGAGCCGAGCGGAGCCGAGCGGAGCCGAGCGGAGCCGAGCGGAGCCGAGCGGAGCCGGGCGGAGCCGAGTGGGAGCCGAGCGGAGCCGAGCGGAGCCGAGGGGAGCCGAGGCGTGAGCCGACGGAGCCGAGCGGGAGCCGAGTCGGAGCCGAGCGGATCCCATCTGAGAAGAGGGGCAGGGTCGCGGGGACAAGTAGAGGGGGGGGGGTGGGGGGGAGGAGGGGGGGGGGGGGAGGGTGGGGGGCGAGAGGGGGGGAGGTGGGGCGGAGGGGGGAGACGAGCGGGAGCCGAGCGGAGCCCGAAGCGGAGCCGAGCGGAGCCGAGCGGAGCCGTAGGGAGCGAGGGAGGCTCGAGCGGAGCGAGCGGGAGCCGAGCGGAGCCAAGCGGAGCACGCGGTGAGCCGAGCGGCGACCGCGACGGGAAGGCCGAGGGAGCCGAGCCGGAGCCGAGCGTAGCCGAGCGGAGGCCTGAGCGGAGACCGATGCGTGAGCCGAGATGAGGCCGAGGCGGGAGAGCGGGGAGCCGAGCGGGAGCGAGCGGAGCGAGCGGGAGCGAGCGGGAGCGAGCGGGAGCGAGCGTGAGCGAGCGGGCAGCGAGCGGGAGCGAGCGGGAGTCGAGCGGAGTTTCTCTATACCGCTACGTATCTCAGTCCTACTTTCGGCCGTTTTGTTTTCTTGTAGTTACGCCGGCATCGTATCGTCTGCTTGTGGTTGGGTCTTCCTCCCTCTTTGGTGGGGCCACGGTTGCTTTGTCTTTTCGCTGTGTGGGGTGTTGAGGGGTGCGAGCGGGAAGAGAGCGGGCAGCGAAGCGGGAGCGAGCGGGAGCTGAGCGGGAGCGAGCGGGAGCGATGCGAGAGGCGAGCGATTTGGGTGAGCGAGCTAGAGCAGCTAGAGTCTGTCGAGAGGCGAGCTAGAGCGAGCGATATCTATCGAGAGCTAGCGAGAGCGAGCGATAGGCTAGCTAAGCGAGCGATAGCGAGCGAGGAGAGATCTATACTAAAGCTAGATGCTAGCTAGATCGAGTCTATATCTATCTATATATCGAGTATCTATATCTATCTATCTATCCATCTATCCATCTATCCATCTATCCATCTATCCATCTATCCATCTATCCATCTATCCATCTATCCATCTATCCATCTATCCATCTAATCTATCCATCTATCCATCTATCCATCTATCCATCTATCCATCTATCCATCTATCCATCTATCCATCTATCCATCTATCCATCTATCCATCTATCCATCTATCCATCTATCCATCTATCCATCTATCCATCTATCCATCTATCCATCTATCGATCTATCGATCTATCGATCTATCGATCTATCGATCTATCTATCTATCTATCTATCTATCTATCTGTGTTGCATATTATTCCAGACTAGAATGCCCATAGTTATACCAGTTGAGAATTTGGTAAGCCCAATGCCATAAATCTACCATTTGGATGATTCGAATCCCACTTATGTTGATATCAGGGATGGTTTATGGCAGAAACGGTTTATCACGTCAAGCCCTGGCCCAATTTGCCTTCTGATGTGCTTTGTGTTGTTTGAAGCGGTGTGACCGCTCTAAGCGGTTTGTCCGCTCGAGTTAGCATATGCATGGATATATGTGTATATACAATAAATATGTATATGTATATGTAAATATATGCAGTCATTTGAGCATATATATATATAGTCATACATATTTGTTTGTGTTTATGGTTAAAACGTATATATGTGTGCATATGCGTATATCTATATCTCTGTCTCTCTCTCTCTATATATATATATTGATAGTGACAGTTCTTCTCCTTGCTTCAGGATGCAAGAATTTGGAGATCAGCAGACGTCTTCCTGCAGGTTTTCCGAAATCTCAAGTCTGCCTGTGATCTGTGGCTTGCCAATATGGCTTGCAGACGCTAATATAGGAGGGCAACAACCAGGAGCTGTGGACTGACCTGCCGCCTCCAACAACTTCGTCACAGCAGACTGGGCGAAGCTCTCTACTTGGGAGATGGTACCCTCTGGTAGTTTAACATAGCTATTGAAAATGACCCAGTCGAAATAGTGGATTTTCCCAGCTATAAAATGGTGATATTTTCCATAGCTTATGTAAACGTTTACCAGAGGGTATGACGAATGTCAAGTTCTGTTTTGACCCTTCACACAAGGTTGTTCATCCAGAGCTACGCTTGGCTACAAGGTGAGGTTCCCCTAAGTTTGACATATCCAACTTGCTTAGGTATGTTGGATATTAACAGCAACTAAGTCATAGAATTCCGCATATATATAATGGCATTAGATACTGTATAAGAAGTTAATAACATTTAATAACTCATTTATTAAGAAGTTAATGTCATTTATTTAATAACTAGCATTATATATACAGTAACTATATAGTCCTGTGGTAAACCCGAAAAAATGGGTGACAAGCCATTTTTTCATACACCCAATAAACCACATATATATATAAATCCATATAAATCCAGATACTTCCATATACATCCATATATATAATATAATAAACCTAAGTTTAAGCACCGTTTAAGCACCCAATTTGTCGCCCTTAACCAAGGCCACCACCACGACCACCACGATGGGTTTGGGCTTGGTGGCCACGGCGCCCGTCCTGACGTTGGGACCTCAAAGCGAGGACCGGACTCCGCGGTGCCATGGTTTTCATGGCAAATCCCAAGCTATAAATGGATGATTTATATAGGGGTAGCCCTATTTTAGGACACCTCCATATATATGTGTATATATGTATATACATATATATATATATATATACATATTTATATATATATATACATACATATTTATTTATTTATATATATATGTATATATATATGTATATATGTATATATATATATGTATATGTGTATGTATATATATATGTATATGTGTATGTATATATATATATAGAGCTATGTCATGGATTCATGGATATCTAGATGGGATTTAACCATCAACAACAGGGAGATTTTTTGAGAGCGTCAATTCATCAGGGTTTCTTAAGCATCAATAGGGGGACTTAAGCAGCAACAATAGATGAAACGATTTTCTATAGAAAAAACATGGTGATATGATAAATGACATGGTAACTATAGTAACTATGGTATATAACTATAGTCTATAGTAGATATTATAAACCTAGGTCAATCTTAGATGGCTAGTTTAACTAATCCAAAATAGTCGTTTGTAAAGGGAATATCTACGTTCACTCACCAGCTAAGAATGACATGGTGATTTCACCATTCAAGACATGTGGATTTAGAAAATGTGGATTTGAGAAACCCAAAATAGGGATGTAATGATATAACCATATCTCAAGCGAGTTAGCTAGTTCCATCCTTTGATGTATCTCGCAGGTATACTTCAGGTATGTGCGAGGCTATTTCTCTTTTTTGCTGTTGGTTGAATTGCCTTCCGTTACTGGCACAAGGCTGTGAAAATGACAATGACTTGAATGGGACACTAGACGAAAAAATGGATAGACTGAGATATAAGGCCAAAAAAATGGGTGGGTATTCCAAAGCACGTAGACCTTACATTAGACCTTACACACATTTTCCACATGGTAGGTACCTTACATTTTACATACATCTTTGATGTGTTTGCAGCTTCGTCCCTGTCATGCATCAGCTATATGCTCGCCTCTGAACGCTCAACTGGAAAATGGCCAATTTAGTTCGATGATTTTCTCATCTATAAACCTCCATTTATAAAATGGGAATTTCCCTTGGTCGCCACATTTGAGGACGCCTGCGGGTAACCCTAATTGATGGTTACATATCCCACTATATTCCCTTTCTATTCCCATTACAGTATGTTAACATTCTATTCCCACTATATTCCCTTTATATACCCATTACAGTATATAGCTATTATATACCCAATAAATTCCATATTCCGCTTTGCTCCTGGAGAGGACTGTGACCATTGGGCCTTCCGCGCTTATGCGACTCCCAATGTCACTGCCGTTGACCGTCTCTCTGGAAATGCGGGCGACGCTTGGCGACGCGCGAAGTTTTTCTCCCACGGATCAGAAATCTGGATAAATTCTAACGAGTTATATGGGAACATATTGGAAAATATTCTATAAATGAGTGCATCATGTGGATATAGTGGAATATACCCTCTGGTAAACTAACATAGCTATTGAAAATTGCCATTTATAGTTGAATTGCCCATAAACAATGGTGATTTTCCATAGTTTTTTGTATGTTTACCGGAGGGTATCTGGATAAAAAAAATGTAACGACCTCACATCACGACCTGATGGTAATCAAGTATGGCTAAGCTGGGAAATCCGAAATCATCTGTACATGGTGGATTTTCCGTTGAACACTAGATTTATGGTAGATATTAATAAAACTCAGTCATGGGGTTTATAAAAAACCAACTTATAGCTACTGGGGCGCCCCCTTGAAAGATCATATTTGGTGGGGAAAGGATATGTATATGTATATAGATTTATTTATTTATCGATTGCTAGCTTAAACGTAAGCATACTATCATGAACATATCGTAGCATATCCTAACAAACTGAGATGCTCTGCCCTTGGGGAAATGCGGGACATGAACATAGATACGGAAAACAGCAACAGTTTCTCACTGGGCAACTGAAGTTCATCAAGGAGTTGAGTTCAACCCGAAGAGAGTTGTGAACCAAGATGTCAAGTTCCGATCCGTAGTTCCAGTTGACAAGAAAACATGTCTTCTAGATCTTCTCTTCAGAAGCTACATCAAGCATCTCGATCTAGAGAAGGCTTCAGTTGAAGACACAACTGGTACCATCTGGCAATCAGCTCCATGGTTTGCTGGAACATCCCCCAGCAAAAGTTCGACGATTTTCCCACCAGTTGGGATAGCTATTTAGTTGGTGGATTTCCCGCCCTTGGGGTAATTTCTACGCGAATCTGAAGCATCTCTTACTTTGGGGATCACCAACCAGGTATCCGTTGGTTATACTTTAAATTTCAATAAATAAATCATTTGGTAGATTATATTCCCACTAATGTCAACCCTGGATTCATAAACCCCGTTTACGGCTGTGAACAATTGGGAGGGTACCATAAAAAAGTATCAGAGAATGACTATTGAAGGAGTACCCCCCAAGCAAAATAAACCATGAGTTATTAATCCGGGGTTGACATTATATACTGGTTAGTGGTTTCAAACATTTTTTAGTTTCCATTTCATATATTGGAAAATCCTTCCCATTGACTTTCATATTTTTCAGAGGGGTAGGTCAACCACCAACAGGCATAACTATATTCCCATGAAATCCTGGCAGGTTTTTAGTCGGGCCTTCCCGACTAATCCGGGGGTGGTTGAATCCTCATGATAGGTTTGTCTGAAAAAAATAGGTATACGGTATACCCCTTTTTTCCAATGGATTATAATCATTCCGTATTATTCCCAATGGCCATTTGGACTGTAGACCCCATCAGACAAACCCCAAAATCTCAGCTATATATATATATTATTTACAATCTATATATATATACACACACACATATATATATATATATAATATTTCTTCCCATTTCAGTGGCCATTTGGAGGCTACAACATGCTACACCCCATTTTCAGACAAACCATGACAAACCCATATCATACTATTATTGGTGACATCCCTATCGCAGTGCCATTAAAATTGAATCCATGATATCCTCATGATAAAGTCATGTGGAGAGTACAAACTCAATTCAACATCCCAGTCAAGATCAACTGATTTTCTCTCTCAGCCTCTCAAACAAATGGGCACGATTAACCCACGGAGAGCCCCACGAAGCAGTTAAGACTGGGTGATCCTGCAAGTGACCAAATCTTCGAAGTGGTTGAACCGGTGCTTTCCGCCGCATGGTAGAAAAATTGGGGTGGTTCACCACCCCAATGAGTAAGTGGATTATAACATATACATAAACATGTTACAACATGTTACAACCCCAATGATATCTGGACAAATCCTACATACTCTACAATACTCTACATACGGAACTGGGTTGCACTACATAACCTTAACTTACATTCAGGATGAGCCACAAAGTATAGCTCCAATTTATTGGAGCGGACATTTTACTGGTTGGTGGTTTGGAACATGGCTTTTATGGCTTTTATGAATTTCCATATATTGGGAATTTCATAATCCCAACTGACGAACTCATATCTTTCAGAGGGGTAGGTATACCACCAACCAGTTTAGGATGGTTAGATACAAAAAGTGTAACTCCTTTTCTCTGGTTAAAGATGATGAACCAGGCCAATTCTCATTGTATCTCTATGAAAAGTAATGACCTCACGTCGTGACGTCAATGGAACGATGCTGAATGTAAGGGATGTTTTTTCCCCAAATGGCTGTTTAATGACAGCTATTTTCAGGTTGATGAATTTTGTAATTCAGCTATAGATTAAATCCCATATGATGATTTTGATGTTGGTAAAATTCCGAGTAACTGAGAACATTCCCATTGTTGGTTAAATCCAATGACGTCCCCGGATAAATTCGCGAAAATCGCATATCTTTGAAGCTTCAAAACTTCGGGATACAGCTCCTTGGTGTCTTCAGGATGTCGTCACCATTGAAGTGAACATGCCTGCGGACTTTGCGGATGCTGTTAGTCGGGGGCCCAGGGGATTGCCGATGCCCTACATCTTTTCGGAACGATACCCTCTGGTAAACTAACATAACTATTGAAAATCATCACTTTTAGTAGGTAAATCACCTATTTCACTGGGCCATGGCTTCCAGAGCTATGTAACAAATTACCAGGGCGTACCCATATCTTGACAAAGACAAGAACATACTTGATCAATACGGAAGATCATCCATGAAAGGCACGGATGCCTTTTTGGGAGGCTTTTCCAGTCCAGGTTGGACTACCCGTGGAGTATATAAGCGTGCTGTTGATGGTAGGTTGAGACAAATTCTGTAAGCAGTGGTCAATTTTTGCATCCTTTGCTTGATGCTTTCTAAAGTTTCTACATGTTTTTACGAGGTGGTTGGAGATTGTCATGACCTCTTTCGAGAAACCGTATGAACGTACTAGCCATGTACTGTACTTCTGGGAATTCGTATACATATACGTATATATAATACACAATTCTACATACAGGTAATACACAGTATTACTGCTATTCCGTTTTAAATGTCTGTCTATATCTGGCTTGTGCTTTCACATTTTTTTTCTGCGTTTTATCTTCGGAATGATGATACTATACCCAACTTTTTTTTAATTTTTTTCTTGGGTGGCTCACAGGACCACAGGGTGTCATCGCTTTTTTTAACTCATGGAGAGTTGATACTCTCCACGATGATCATTCAAAAAACCTCGCGGAAAGAAGTTTGGTACTTCTCCTTGTCAGCAAAAACTACCCGGAAATGGAGTCTATAGAAACATTTTTTTTTCTGGCAATTTCATCATTGTCGGAGAATTAGATTTTTGTTTTGTTTTTCCTCCTGAATTCGAGGAACAACCGTCGGTTTTCATGAGTTTTGTTGGAGTACACGACCCAGAAACATGGTACGACATTTCCACGGGGATCCCTAGGGGACACATTTTTTCGGCTATTTCCGGATAGGGAAAACTTCATGTTACCCTTTTTTTTGGATTGCATGTTCTTGGGCAAAAATCACATATTTCTATCAAGTTTTTAGACATATGATGTGACTAATTACTAGAGATATCTCAGAGGCTGAAGTGATGAGTTCTTCTCCACTTGAGCCAATAGGTATTCCCAATATGGGGTAGCTCACAACTGCACTTGAACCTGTTGGGTATTATATTCCTAGGTCAATCGTAGATGGTAGAAACTAATCCAAAATAGTCTTTGTGGTATGGGATTATCTACTAACTAACCAGCTAAGAATCTTTCATTTTTTGCAGGGTATCTAAGATTGGCACCGGTGGGTATTGTGTTCAAATGTTGCTCTCCCTAACATCAATATGTGATGATCAAATGTCACACCCAGAATGACACGATAACTTGATAACAGAAAACTGTAGCTATGTGAATAACTAGATAATCAGATGACGCTATGAATACTACAATGTGGGGCACCCGTTTGATAGCTAAGTTGGTTTATAAACTCCAATAACCATGGTTTATGATACTTATAACATCTTATAACTATAGTATTCATGGGGTTTCCCCATCCCGTAGGCCATCCAAATTTCATCCATACTGGGATATTTTCCAAGTTTTGTGAACATTTGAGGCATTGAACAGCCCAAAAAGCTGTTTCACTAGTTGAAACTAGTTGATATGACATGAAGGATGATGAAAGATGGATATATCATGATCAATCCGAATTGCGGAAATTTCTGATGCTTAAAGTGCTCCATTTCCATTCAACCAGTGCATTATTTGGGGAAGCAACACTCGTTAGCCTCTGGTGTCATCCATAGCGGGCCGGGACATTCCCAGCCATGAAAAACATGTAGGTGAAATCACCATGTTTTATCACCAGAGGTTCCACAGGTTTATCCCATGGAAAACCGCTATGAAATCACCATGAAATCTCAGGCATTGACAATGTCACGGTGAACATGGGCGACTTCGTGCCTCACATTGAGTGGGGCCAGGTAACGTTTGGGCAATCTGAAAGATGGGTAGGTTTCTTAACCACAGATCTATGGGGGGTTCTTAGCCATCAACAATAGGGATTTCTTTCTGGGATTTACAGACATATGAGATGTCGACAGGTCAATCTGAAAGATGGCTAGTTCAACTAATCCATTAAATACAGTCTTTTGGTATTGCATTATCTACGTTCACTCACCAGCTGGCCACGGCGTGAATCCCGACTGGGATTCAACGGGATTCGCCAATATATCCCAGTGATTCACGTGGGATAAGTAGGCTTAAGCCACCATTCTTCTGGGGTGAACTAGCCTACGATTTCTGGGATGAAGCACCGAGAGTTTTAATAACCAACGTGTTTATACGTGTTTATACGTGTTGAAAAATGGGATTGTTTAAATGAGCCATATTTTGTGGGGATATTCCCAGTTATAAATCGATTATACGCCCATTAACTAGTTCGATATATCACCTATAAACCCTAGATTTTGGACTTGTAAACTAATTTTGCTAACTAATCCATATATAAATCACAATTTTTCTTGGTTAAACCACAATTTTTCTTGGTTAAGTCACATTTTTTCTTGGTTAAACCACCAGTTTTCTTGGTTAAACCAGGTTAAATCATGTTAAGTTGAATCATTTTCCGCTTTGGGGCACCACCTGCCGTCACAAAGGTGACGTAAAACACTGACGGCGGCCGCATTTTTTTGGGAGATCATCCTTTTGTTGGAACGAACGTGGTCAAGTTCCAAGGTGTGTTTGAGTGGTATTCTATATATGGGGATTATCATGGATCGTAGGGGTTATATATAAGGATTAGTGCTATATAAACCATATTCTGGTTATATATTATTTAATCCATATATATATATATAAGTGGGTATATATTTGTGGATTATAAACCATATTCTAATATACCACACTTATTCTTACTGGTGCGTTTTACGCAGGGAATTTGAGGGAATGATCCATAATCATTAGTAAATTTAGTAATAATAATTCCAGCAACCCCCAGCAACCCATCCATTCCCTACGTAAAACGCACCAGTAAGTATATGGACATATGGAAAATCTATGGGACATGATGAGAATCTATGGGAAATCTATGGTAAAATGGTGGGACATCTATAAATTTGCACTGCATCATATTCCATATGGGTAAATAAATTACAACGACCTCACTCTTCTCCCTCAGCCTTGAATCATGGTTAATAAGAGAAATCCCCTTTTATGGCCGCAAGATTTCAGGTTAGTGAAATATTATCACAATTTACCCAGGTAGTTTGTTTTCTCTTGTTTTTTTTTTTCCCCTGCAAAAAGAGGGGACATGATGTGGATATGACTGGATATGACTGGATATCATAGGATGGTTCCAATGGGTATATCATGGGTATACACTGGGATAGGTTTCCTGTTAAAAGCATACTTAATTTTCCTAGGATCCTAGGGATGCTCGAATCTAGCCGTTTTTTTTTTTTCGGGATTGTTATATACAAACCCTGTTCTTAGGATTTCTGCATGGATGGATGGCTATAAACCATATACCATCTTTTGACCAGGACCAAGACACATTTGCTCACAGCATGACTGACTTTTTCTTCGAGCTTCAATCGGTGCCATTTTTCGATTGTTTCCCAGTGTTGCCATCATCATGGCCATTGGTTTTAAGCAGTTCTTTGGTGTGCGCAGCTCCACTTGATAAGGGTGTCGCTGTTTGTCGCCCTAAATATGATAGTTATCCCAACTATTCTCAACTTAAGCTTATGGTGGTTGAAACACCAGGACTACACACCATGTTGGATGGTTGAATCATCTTAAACCTAGTTTTTAATAGTTAAATCCACATGTTTCTGGCTTACACCCACAAAAACAACATCAACTGCAGGACCAAGTACTGTAGTATGCTTAGCTCACTTGGGAAACCGCTGGCTTTGGGGCATGTGTCCGAAAATGGGGGATATCCCCAAATAATATCAAATAATCATTTTCAATGTGACAATGATGATATAAACTACTGCATTTTGAGGTACGCGACGTGTGCTTGGTCAACTCAACCGTGGAGCACATTACTTAGAAGCGTCAACCCTGCTGACGTTGCCACTTCGATGCGATGATCCACTGGATCGATATATCCGACATTCTTCTCGTTAGGCTGCGGTGACGGTTACAGGCTTGCCTACAAGGTGGTGCTATAAATTGGTTTCTAAACCATAGTAACTATAGATATATCTACCATAAACCCTAGTTATTGGAGTTATATACCAACTTAGCTAACTATGGGGCACCACCTTGTATCATAAATTCTTGATCAAGCCATGTCCCATGCCTTTTTGCTGTTTATTTCCACGATTTTTCCTATCGAACTTCGGGCCCTTTCCCATGCCCAGGGACTCCAAGCAAGTGGTGTGTCAGTAAAAAAAGCCATCGGGGGTGGGACCAGGAAATGCTTTTATCAGCCGGTAATCCAGGAATATTCGAAGGATATAGATATCCCCTGTATCAGTGCGCTATTTGATTCATACGGTATTGAAATCCACTAGATACACAGGCAAAACTGCGCAGAAAAGGCTCCAGATGGCGTTCGGATTTTCCAAGTGATGTTTGTTGGTTGCGCGCCCCTCTAGCTCGAGATATATCATCCTCCAGAAACCTCAAATTTGTTCGCTTATTATGTTATGTCTACAAACTTAGCTAATCATGGGGCCCCTTCTTGTGGGGTTTAGCCCCGCTAACGAGCTAAATATCAACTGTGACCAGCCTCCGCTTGGAGGAAGATAGTCATTTTGGGATTCCAGTAGGTTGAACTTGGAAGGCGTACCTCGGAAAAACAAAGTGTGGATCAAGCAACAGGAATTTGACAGGAATGAAATGCGAACAAGTCTGGGAATCAATGAACTAACATGGGCATGCGGGCCGGGTGACATGGCTTTTGGTGTTGTGTTGCGTCGCAATTCGAATACCCAAAATTGCATTGATCAACCAAAAATCATACTATTTGATTTTCCGGCTTTCTGGAAAGAAATCAGGAGTTATGC